CGAGAATATTTTATCGAGGCATTTTTGGAATCCAACTTGTAAAGATAATAAGTTGAAACCCAGATGGATCGACATTTAACAATAGACATGCTTCTGTGAAGAGTTCAAATTGTTTAAGGAATGACTTATAAAATCAGCAGTGCTTAGGATCCGGATCCGGATCCAAGGGGTAAAAAATCAACCAAAAACTGCAAAAAAAACTTTTTTACTCCTAAAACCAAAATCTGAACTTTTGAAAAAACGAGAGATTAAAAAAAATTCATGATTCATAAAGTTTTGGGATAAAAATATGCGAAAAAATTAAACAACAAATTTGAAAATTATTTTTTGTTAAAAAAATTCAGTAAATCTTAAAGAAATGACCTGGATCCGGATCCGGATCTTTTCTTTTTCCAGTGCGAATCCAGGATCCGGATCCGGACCCGCATCAAAATTAAATTAATCCTAAGCACTGGAAAAAGGATAGGATAACATAAAAGTAGAAAGCGAAAAAAAACCTAACGTTGAATAATGCAGGGAAATATTCTGATAAAAATACAAAAGGATAACAGGGGTGTGTACTGTATATTTTATTGCAAAAAAAATCGGGTAAAAGTATTCAAAGGGATGAAAAAACTTGGCTTTTGATGTAAAATTTTTCATTTCAAAAATTCTTAAAAATATAAAGTATACATTACACCTCTGAACGATAATCAAAAAAATCTAAAAAATGTTAAGTAAAATATTTTCTCTTTTTCAGATACATCTAGTTTAGCAGAAGCATTAAACTCCGTGACTGCTGCAAAAGAAATGAAGAAACTATCCAAACATGATAAAGCCTTGAGGTATCTTAACTGGATAAAAAATGATTATCTTTATTTTCATTACCTGGGACTATCACATAATATTTATATTTTTATAGCAATCCGTTTTCGCAATTACAGAAGTATATTTTTTTACTGTTGCTTTGACAATACAGATTATTTTTATAAATAGTCTGTATTTAAAGAGAAAAATAGCAAGCACCTTGAGGCTGAGTCTGATCAATAATGTTGAAGATAACGACGTTTTTCTGGCTTAAAAAGATTTATTTCTCATAATTTTTCACATGTTTCTGAATCAAGAAATGCTGCACTTTTGCAGAGACACCACAAACGTAAATATATAGTTTTCAAAAACAAAATCATGGATATCTAATCCTTACTTTTTCATTCAAAGCTTTAACGGTTACCAATGTGAATTTGAAATGCCACTCCATCAATGTAGGGTCATTTTGAAGTTACGTTTATAGTTGTATCAATGGAGAGGCACTTGAAGTTACGTTTATAGTTGTATCAATGGAGAGCCACTTGAAGTTACGTTTATAGTCTTATCCATGGAGAGCCACTTGAAGTTACGTTTATAGTTGTATCAATGGAGAGCCACTTGAAGTTACGTTTATAGTCTTATCAATGGAGAGGCACTNCTAACGTTTTCTAAACCCCAAAAATTGTTGTGATTGATAAATCTGAATTGATTTAGGTAACTTCAGGTTATTATGTAAACTTGTGTGTTTAGATTATACCAGCATGCCTTGGCACTAGCACCACGTAGTCCGGAGGTTTTGAACAGCTATGGAGAATATCTAGGTATAGAAACCAGTTCCAATGCTTTGAAACGGGTCCGGATTTTGTTCTTAAAAATAATTACCCATTTTTTGGGATAGATATTTTCTTCTTGCAAAACAAATCTCAAGTTGATTATTGAAAAATAGTCAATATTCAATTTTCATGAACAACAAAACAAAATAAGCCAAACCGGTTTTTATGTACATAGAACCCTTTGTAATATTCAATGTGAGTACAAAACCCTTTATCTTTAACGACATGCATTCGGACGAATGGTCACAAACTTACGTAAAAAGACATATATAAAGTTTTATGCAGCAGAATATTTTCAAAAAACAAATCTTATGTTTATTGTAAGAAACCATTTATCAAATCTTCATTTCGTTTTTTAAAATATCAAAACGAACAGTTTGTTAGTTTTAACACTTCGTTTTGGCTCGTATTTTTGAAAAATCTAAAACGAAAATCTTTTTTTTTCATTCGTTTTTAAAATTGATCAGCAACACTACCTCTTTACTCTATAGTATAAATTGTTGTAGAGGAGACCAGGAAAGATGTAGTTCAAGCCGATCATATGTTTGCTTTGGCAGTCGCTTTCTCTGATACCCATACTCATAACAGGGNCGGGGAAATACTCAAATTCTAATGTCAAAACAAATGCATGTTATGAAGAAAGAGAACAGCTGTTCGAGTTGAAGAGATAGACCAACATGTTCTCAGGTTAGTACACAATAGGGTAGAACAGTGCACTTTAGGGTTGTATAGTACTCTATAGGGCTATACAGTGCACATTCTAGAGTTGAATAGTGGGGCTTTACAGTACACACTAGGGTTGTATAGTGCAAAAAGTGTTATACAGTATAGCTTCGTATAAATAAACAAAAATTAAAAGAAATTTAAACCATTTCACAAATGAGGCAGACGACATTTAAAGTAATTTACTCTACTTCTGAATCTTTCAAATTCTATGGCTCCGCCTTTTGCGTATTATTAGAGCGTTTATTTTAACTGGTTCTATAATGGTAGGGTTGCAAAGTACATAGCAGGGTTGCACAGTACAAAGTAGTGTTGCACAGTACACCAAAAGTTTGTAAATTGTGCAGGTCACAATAAAGTAATATCATTCCGTGAGCAAAAAATTTCCCTTTGATTAAATAAATTTATATGAAAATATTTTGGCAAAACAGTAGTTTATTGTTGCTAATTCACCTTTAATCAGGGTCACACTGAACAGTAAATTTTCTTTTTATTTGTTATTTTCGTTATATAATTAATTTATATAAAGTTTTAATCCTTATTTGTTCGTTTGTCCGATCAAAACTCAGGAACCCCTGTGCCGATTTGCCTCAAATTTTGATTGGGGAATTCGGAAGACCCACGGGAATGTTTCTAGCTTGGTTTTGAGATTCTAAGTTGAGTGGGTTCACTTTTAACGGGAAAAATTGCTAATATCGTAATTTACGACAAGGGGCGGGTAAACGGTGGGACTAACAATGACTCTCATATGCAACACTTGGGAACCCGGGTTCCCAAGCTAGTTATTAATAGTTGCACTTTTCCAGGAACATTGATAAGAAAAAAATGCAGTTTCTAGAAATTGGAGAAAATAGCGCGGCTTTAAAGAGAGCAAAAAAAGAAGCCTACTTTCAGGAATAAACATTATATATATATATAAAGTTTTAATCCCTATTTGTCTGTTTGTTTGTTTGTCCGATCAAAACTCAGGAACCCCTGTACCGATTTGCCTCAAATTTTGATTGGGGAATTCGGAAGACTCACGGGTATGTTCTTACCTTGGTTTTGATATTCTATGTTGAATTTGTCGACTTTTATCGGGAAGAATATCTAAAATCGTAATTTATGACAAAGGTCGGGTAAACGGTGGGACTAACTATGACTCCCCTTTGCAACACTGTGTTCCCAAGCTAGATATTGATAATAGTACTTTTCCAGGAACATTGACAAGAAAAAAATGCAGTTTCTTGAAATTGGAGAAAATAGCGCGGCCTTAAAGAGAGCAAAAAAAGAAGCTTACTTTCAGGAATAAACAAAAACAAAAACTATTCAATTATTTAGATTAAAAAACTTTTACACAAATAAATTTAAATTAATCGCTTATTTTTCAGTTAGCTGAGCATGTTCTGTCCTAAAAATTCATTAAAATTTTAAAATCTTTAATAGCAGCTGTTTGATTTTTGTTTACTTCTGCAGTACGTTTACCACACTGTTGGTATAGAAGGGAACACTATGTCCCTGGCACAAACTAGATCCATCCTAGAAACTAAGCTTGCTGTTGCAGGTTAATAATTATTAAGGGGACTGTAGACGTAATTTTTAACTAACTCTTTCAAAATTGATTTTTTTCAATTGTGGTTTCTCTGTAAAGTTTCTGTTACAGAAAAAATTGTAAAATTAAATTCTTTCAAAACTATTTTCCACGTCTTCTAGATTGTTTATCATATTTTGGTTTAAAAGGAAACTTTGTGAATCCACTTTTTGATGGAGTGGACACTACAGTCATTTTAGATTACAAAGGCATTCCCTAGAACTTTTTTGCCTAATTGTACGGAAATAGTTTTTGTTAAAATATTGGATGCTAGTCCAATGTCCAATGTCCAGTAGTTTTATGAGACAAATGTTTTAAGCTTTTTTTGTTTAGGTTTTCTTCGAAAATCAAAAATAATTTTTTATTCTCCATTTTATATGTATTGTTCAGGGAAAAGTATAATGGAGCACAATGAGATTTTGGGAATGGATGCCGCGCTCAAGTTTATTAATCAGGAACATTGTCAATCAATTAATCAGAAACTTTTTACAAGTCAATCAATCAATCATTCAATTTAAAGTTTATTGCAAACTTTACATGTATAGCATAAGCTAAAGGGCCTTTTTAAAAGCAATTTTTTAGTTGTCTCAATTATTCAAACTTAAAGGGAGTGTTCGCGAAAAATAAAAAGGGTTATAGGTTGATTGATATCTAATTCAATTCGACGTCAACCAATACCCCCTTTCATATTCGCGAACACTCTCTTTGAATTATGTTTGGTACTTAAAATATAATTGATAAATGTTAGACTCTTGTTGATAAATTAGGAGATATTACCCTTCAGGTGAATATAATTATCTAGGGGATATATGACGTAATTTCGAGTGACCCTTTATTTCAAGAGTTTCACGCCCACCCAATACACTCTGATACCGGGTGTCCTACGAATCAGACGTAGCAAGACAACTTGAAGGTCGTCTTTGATCTTTGAAAACATTTTCGACATTTATTCGTAAACCTAATCTTAGAAGTAAAATTCTAGAGTTGATAATTACAAAATGCCCTTAATCTTGGCATTTACAAAATGTGGTATGTATATTTTGTGCTTTTAATACTACCGGAGATAAAAAGAATTTCGTTCAGATTTCTACATTTTTGTTTTTATTTAATAAAATTGAAATAGGAACAAAATTCTTAATTCAGATAACATTGACAGCACAAAAGAGACAGAAAACAATTTTGGATATTATGGGTTATTGTTTTAAGAATCATAAAATAGGTTGACGATTAAATCTCACAAATAAATTCTAAAATCAAAGACGACTTTTAAGTCGTCTTGTTACCGTCACATTTCGTGGGTTTCCCTGTACCTTGGTTGAAGCAACAAATGATTGAGTTATCATTGTTTTTCTTTAGAAAAATAGATTGAATAATATGCTATTTCAAGACAGTAAAACGACCTTCATCATCAATCCGACCATAGGCTAAAGGGTGCTGTTTGAAAGCGGGAATGCAACCCTTTTAATTTAAGACTTGGTCGCAAGAGAATAGTCCCTTAAACATCTCTAGAAAAAAACTTAATACAACTCTCAATCTGGTATACGATACGATACCTTGTTTACCCCCTTTTTTGACAAACTCACACCCTACCAATTCCTGCCTTCTGGAATCGAAGACATGGGGGAAAAATAAAACAACATAAAGCAGTGGCAAACTCCCCCCCACCCCGACCCTTTATACCTCTAGTAAATCAGACAGGATCAAAATAGTTCATTTGTTTCACTGTAATCTCCTTAGAAGGGTCTGATTCATGCTGTCTCGTTTTGCCTTATAATGTCTTTATGAGTACTGTACAGCTGTCTATAGCAGGTTAATAGTCGGCCCGGTACTTGAAATGAACCTGAGTTTACCGTACAGTATCCTTTTTGAAAGTTGAAACTGAAAACTGTATTTATTTGGCAGGATATTCTTGAAATACATAAACGAGTAATTGGAAATGTGGATCCTTTAGAAGCTGGTATATTCCGAACTACACAGGTAACACGTTCAACTCAAATCTACGGCGCTCCTAGCCTGATGCAATACCTAGCTTTAAAGGGAATTTACCCTAGGATGATCATTTTAGGTATTATATCCAATAGTTCAAAGAAGGTTTTTTTGGGAGAATTTTTCTTGCCTGGTTCATTGGATCCATAATTTACCAGATTCTTAATTCAAAATGGAACTGGGATGTATATGTATAGCAGTAACCCGTCCATAGGCCGATGATGAAGGATTCTTCTAATGCCTTCTACGAAAGTAGAACCTAACCATTACAAAATTTGTATGGACGCTAGGCTGTCAGGTGTTGGACGTTTTTAACTATTTTCTCCTCAGTTCAGAGACGCGACAGATAGGAGTAATATGAGTATCGATCGATTTCGAATTCTATTCGACGTCAACCTCTACCTCCTTTCATTTTTCGTGAACACTCCCTTTAAATACCGATTCAAGCACAGATATTGGTAAGGTTAAAGTATATGCTCTAGTACAGGTTTAGGTACAGGTTTTAGGACAAGTTCCAATACAGGTTCAAGTACAGGTTCAAGTAAAGGTTCCAGGACAGGTTCTTGTACAGGTTCCAGGACAGAACATTTTCAAGTACAGGTTAAGTGCAGAATTAAGTACAGATTCAAGTACGAATCAACTACAGATTCAAGTACGGATCAACTACAGATTCAAGTACGGATCAACTACAGATAAAGTATGGATATAAAAGCAGGTTAACTTTGCTTTACATTATCTTGTTTCTTGTTTAGGTTTATGTAGGAGACCATGGTCCCCCTCCTCCTTCCCTTGTAGAACTTCTAGTTCATAGATTTATTCAATGTTTAGGTTTATGTAGGAGACCATGTTCCCCCTCCTCCTTCCCTTGTAGAACTTCTAGTTCATAGATTTGTTCAATGTTTAGGTTTATGTAGGAGACCATGTTCCCCCTCCTCCCCTTCTAGTTCATAGATTTATTCAATGGTTAAACAGGTATTACTTTTTCAATATATTTGCAGAAAATGACAGTATCTGGGTAAAATGAATCAAACAGTTGAACGGTATAAATAATCAGAAGAAAAGAGAAGGTTGCATGGTTTTTTTTCTCCTTTGTTGGCAGGTTACGTGAATATGTTTTACTCCGGTCTTCTCCGATAGACCGGAGCGAGAGAAATATGCTGCTACTATCGACCAGCGTTCAAAATATGTGTTATATTTTGATAGCAGAAGGGAACATCAATATGGCATAGCTTGATGTAAAGCATTTTTATATGTTGCATTAGACTTAGAGTAGTTTAAATTTGTGTGGTTTCATTTAAAATACATATATTCAAGCTCTGCTTTTTATTTAAGACTATGTTTTACAAAGTTATATTTAGGTTTTTATAAAGATAAAACTAGTATGGACATATAAATTAGTTATACAGTATCCTGCTGTAATGAGACAAATTAATCAATTATCTAACAAATGTAATTTTAGGCGATTTTCCATTCAAAGATATAACAAATTTGGAAGACATTGTTGATTCGCTGGATTTAGATTTATTTCGTTCTGATGATTTCAATTTGTTTTTTTTTCTGCGGTAGAAATGCGCAAGTCACTTTTGCCGAAAAAGCACAATTGAAAATAATCTGTATTTACAATCAATAATATTGATATCTAATTAAACTTGATCAAACATAGCTTTTGAGGATACAGTTCTGAATTGAGCATTGCCATCTCTGCATGGAGGGTCACTTCTAATTACGCGTACAGTCCCTTTAATTTAGTTATCCTGCGCTATCCCTCCATCCTGTCCGATTATCAGCTCTGGCTCACTACAAGCTGGTTTATATTCATCCGTTTGTGGATGGAAATGGAAGAACGAGTCGACTTCTAATGAATCTAGTCCTTATGCAGGTATAATGCAGTGAGACCCATAAATCTGAGGACTTTAAGGACGACATTTTAGCAATGTTATGTACCTTCCTATTCTTAAGTTATACAGGTGTTTACTGTAGTAGCGTAATATATAAATACAGTCAAACATAATTTTGAGGAAGTCTGTTGTAATTTTGTGTAAAAAAGTATGTTTTTCTTCTGAAATTGCTCGCTGTAACAAAAACGACATCTAAATATATTGCGGGTTTACAGGAGCAATTCAAGGATAACCATATAAACACTAGACAAATGCATTTTAAGAGGAAATTTGTAATAAAAACCAGTTACCTCCCCCCCCCCCTCCTGGCCTCCTTAAATTCCCCGGTATATATATTATGAAGAATCCGGAGGGGAGAGGTGAAAATTGGAAATTAAGTACTAATAATTTTTTTCATTTCAACTAAAAAAATTGTAATGTTGTTCAAAATAAACCGGGGGGAAATATTTGTTGGCAAGAGGAGGGAAATAATTTTCAAAAACTATTTATTACTCTGAAACAAATATGTTGGGGAACTGGTGAAAACTGATTTCAAACCCACATACATCAAAATAGTAAGCTTTGCAATAGAAAAGGAATTATTTTTTTTAAATTGAAACAAAACAGAATTGGAGTGTAGGTAAAATAAAGCTGCATAATAAGTTGTCTCTATGTATGTCATTGTAATGGGTATTATTAAGTCGGAAAAGTTTTTGCCGGGAATTTATATTTTTTCTAGTTTGTTTAAGATCAAAATGAAAGTAATTTCACACCGAACGGAGTAATTACTTTTACTTTTATCACTTGTATTTTGATCGAATACAAACTATAAAAAAGAAAAATATCAGCAAAAACTTTTTTGCATGCATAGTACCCATTACAATAACATATATAGTTTTATTCAATTTTACTCAACTTATTTGATAGCAGGTCATTTAAGTTATTTATCACCCAGTTGTATGGTAATAAAGTAACTTTATCACCCTAAAAAAAAAAAGCTAGGTAAGAAATTTTAATAGCAGACTGAAAAAGTTACTTTTTCGTCCTTTTGTAGGGCAATAAAGTCACTTAAAACATTATGTCTGAAAAATTCCCACAAAATTGAATAAAACTTTAAATTGCTTAAGGATAACGGGGCACTAAAAGGCTAGCATATATATAAATACTCGAAAAGTAATATTATTAAGTTTTAAATGTATAATCTTTGGGATTGAAAACTTAGGGTTTAAATGAAGCTTTTTAACAAATCTAAATCAAAATCAGAAAAAGATATATAGAATATAGTTTTCGGTAAAATGTTTAATTTAAATTAATTGAGAATTATAGGAAAGTAATGTAGCTTCGACGTAGAAATAACATTGTCGGCCATCCTGGGCATATCTCGGTAGTTTGCCGATTTTATCTTGCAAATACAAAAAATCTTTAAAAAATCCTTTAAATGTTTTTCTTCAAAAAAAAATGCACTTTCATCAAATTAAAAAAGTAATTTAGCCTTTAATGGTTCTCAGATATAAGGTTTAAATGAAGCTTTCGAGCAAATTCTTTAAGTACAAATTTAAGGTAAAAAGAATAGAAAATGAAAAATTTATTATCTCAAGTGTTTGAATGCACAGTTTTACTGTGTTATTAATTGTATTACCTGAAATACTTATGTTCTTAATAATATTCCTGGGAAAACCATAAATAATTTTTTTATTTATTGACGCGCCAAAATTGTTGTAATTTTGAAACTTAAAAAAAATCTAATGGATCTGTGGAGTGTGGAAGCATTTGAAAAAATCTTAGATCACGAGAGAGGTAGATCTCTCAGTTGTAACAAAGAAAGCTTTTAGGACTGGTACAATAGATCTGTACATTTTTTTTTCAAAGGGTGTTTATTTCTTGAAATATCCCCCCTCTTTATAAAATGCTTTTTTTCAGTAAAAGTTGTGGATTTTTGCTCAGATCACAAAAAAACAAACATTTTTTTGCTGAATCGGGAAAATATATGATTATTAAGGGGGAATTAACTGATTTTTTTAGGGAAAAGTATGTGAAAGGAAAAACTTTTCGTTTGATTTCCAATTTCTCATTTTTCCCCTATATCCATCGAATATCATTTCTTAGAATTGCACACCCCTGTTTTTACCGCTGAAGCCCCACCCTTATTATTTATATAAACTTTCTTTCATCATGATCATTTTTTTTAAATAATACTTGGTGATACAATTAACAGGGATTAGGGGTCAGCCTTTCTAATCAGTATAAAAAAATATTATGGAAGGGGCCGTTTAATGAAGCTTTTGTCGTCCGCTCCTTCCATTCGTTGTAAAACGATGTCGAATATTCGAAAATCTATCCGTTAACTTCAGCTAACCAATATTGTATAGGAAACTTTAGAATTCACTAAATGATATCTTATCCATCTTGGATTGTTTCTCCGGGCATTCTGAAACATAGTTCTATACCCAGAACTCTATGGAGAGAAACCTTAAAAGAGAGGTTGGAGCAATCCCGGCCCTAAGCTTCCAAACAGCTTTAATACACCTTAGAAATAGGCAATTTTTTAAATGAAAACAAATTGTGTCCTATTAAAAAAAATTTGATAAATGAACATCATAGTAATCTTATTTTTATATTAAAGCATATTTTTTTCTCTGCAATCTAGATTTGATTAGAATAATGAAGATTATTAATTGTTCCATGAAAACAGAAAGGTTTTCGACCATTCGACATCGTTTTAGCCCTAGCGGAAGCATCGAATGACATCATGTTACATCAACAACCCCTTCTAAAATTAAAAGCTATATATGTATTTTTAAGGCTGGGTTTCCCCCAGTGATAATTCGACAAGCTGACCGAGAGCTTTACTATAGATATTTATCTCTAGCTAATCAGGGAGATATTAGACCATTCGTCAGGTAAACATATATTCATATATATTCGTCTATTTATGAAATTTAGATTTTAAAACGAAATAAAAATGTTTTTCCAACAAAAATCCCTAAAAACTTGTACCTTTTAAGGAATAATTATTGTTTAAATATATAATTTTAATTTCTAGACAATATTTAATATTCTATTTCTGTAATATTTTCAAAATATTTATTTTCTTAATTGTAAGATGCTGATTTTCAAGCTGTCAGAAAAGTTAGTCTGCATCTTTATAAATAAAAATTAAAGAGTTGATCAAAGGCTGAGAGTATTAACTTTAAAAATTTTAAATTTGATATTTTAAAGTGAAAAAGAAACTGAAAGGGTAATTATAAGATTTGTTTAAAAAAGATAATAGGAATAGTAAGGAAAGGAAGAAAGTGAATGTCGAACACTTCCTGTTAAAATGTTGCTCAAGATATTTTTATTTGAAATTGTTGTAGCAAAATGTGTTTGAACCATTTAATTAGAGTGAGGGAAAAAAACAGGGATAATCGATGTTTTATACAAAATTTTCAAAATTATTATTTCGTTCGGATTTTAGGCATAAATTAGATAAAAGGTGATAAAAAACTTCAAAATATTTTTGGAACATTGAAAATAAAATATCCGCGAAACCAATTTTTTTTCAATAATGAAATTTTAAAAAAATTGTTGGGGTAATGTTTTTTTTTAGTTTTTAAAAATTTCTAAATAACTCATCTAAATTTGAATAAGATAAAGCTAAAAAATCCGCAAAAAATTACGAGTGGAAAAATGCAGTAAATGTTATTAAATTATAACCCTAGAAATGTTATGACTTCAAAAATGCAATTAATTGGCTTACATTGTTTGTTATATCTCATTAAATTTTTGACAATTTTTTTATGAAATTTTGGAAGAAAAAAAACGAGTAAACAATTCTCAACAATTTTTCAAAAAGTAAAATTTTTTCAAAAATAATAGGTTTCGCGAATTTTTTTTATTTTCCAAAAATATTTTTGAATTTCTTTTAACACATTTTATTTTATCTATGCCTAAAATCCGATCAAAAATCATCGATAATCCCTATTTTTTTGCCTCACCCTGTATAATTTCGGCATTTTATTATAACAAAAGATGATTAAGAAAATGACAATGATTTAACTGTGTTCTGCTTATAACACTATGTTTATATGTTTGTGTACCTAGGTTCATTGCTCACTGTACAGAGAAGACTTTGGATGCATACATATGGGCAGCCAGGGAGTACAACGATGCAGATAAGGTAAACTTCACACAGTACACGGTACACTGTACAGTGTACAGTGTACACTGTGCACTGTACACTCTATACACTATACACTCTGTACATTATGCACACTGTACACTATACACTCTATACAGTATACACGCTTAAGATTTGATAACTTTTTTAACGAATAATTTCAAAAACTTTGACCCGATCAAGCAAAGTTTATGTTCAGATATAACCAGAAAACTCTGAAATAGAATGTCGACTTTAAGACTCAAGTTGTAACTTTTAATAGTCCAATAAACATGAGGCACAGCAATTGTGCAGTGTGAACAGACCCATTCCACGTAATAAGTGTTTAAATAACTACCGACTAAAGCTATTTGCTTTGTTACAACATCAAATGCTTTTTAGTATTGCTTTCATGTCGTCTTCCTATTCTACAGTTTTCTGTTTATCACTGTAGTATACTAGCTGAAGTGTCTGACGTTGCCCGTGGAATTAAAAGATTGAATTTTGAAAGGACATTTCTATATTATTACTGGGATATCTGTTTCCTAATAAAATCAGCCAGTTTGGTCCAGTCGTTTGGCCAGCTATATATAATATAAACATAAATATATCTATATATGTGCGAAGAGCTTTATTATATAGATAGATATTAGATAAAGGAATACAAATAATAAAACTTCACACCTGCAAATTTGATTAATTGATTATAATTTATTAAATTTATTTTATCAATTATTTTTGTTTAATTTGATGTTTATTCAGATTGAGCCTGGAGCTGACCTCCCTTTAAACCTAATAGAACATGGAGTAGATCAGATTAAAGAAAACAGGTTAATTTTTTCGTTTTTTATCTAATAAGTTTTCAAAAGTTGTCAAAGGAAGCTAATTAGTAATTAATCTTAAATAAGTGATATTATTTTTCTCAAATTATAGTTTTTAAACCTCTGAACTCACTAAAAGTTAATTTAATTTGTTTATTGTTAATTGTTTACTTACAAATAAGTTTAACACACATGTAGTATATTATTTATATATTTAAGTCAACACTATAAGCCAAATTTTCATGCAAAGAATATACTTTGATTAATTTAAGTTAGTTAACGATTGATTTTGCTTCGTTCTGGTTGATATTTACTTTCAGAGTCAAAGTTTAGCATATTTAAAACTTTTAGAAAATACAATATTGAATTATATTTAAAATTTGGTGTCGATGATGATAAAACCTCTAAGAGTTAATAATATAGATGTTAGTTCCACATTTTATTGAAAATTATATTTTAGTCTGGGTTGACCCTCGTCAGTTCTGACCCAGGGACCCCTCCACCCCTCTATTCCCTTATAGTATTACAAATCTATATATAACATTTAATACACTTTTGGAAAGCCCTTGGGCTCTACTTTAAGAATCTGCAACAAAATTTGCAAATTTGCAAAATTTCAAATATTTATTGCAATATCTAGTTATTAAGCAAAATATGTGCAAACAAAAAGTGCGCGAAATATGATAAATTATACATATTTAAAAATCCTTTACCACGGCAAATACAAATATGCAAAAATATTTGCAAAATTTTCAAAATGTGCCAATTCTCTTTCAAGACATCTGTGCAAAAATCTATGCAAAATTCTTTGTAAAAATTTTGTTCAAGGCTTTCTAAACAGCTATAAAAAGTTTAAATCTAATGACTGGAAGTAGGTCTAAATATGGATTAAGTCTGGTGTAGGTAAAATAAGTCATTCAGGCAGTATGACTGAGGACTCAGGCAGTAGGTATAAATGCCCTGCTTTGAGCCTTATGTGTTACTTGGAAAAGTCAAAAAATTTGAACAACCTCAGACCAATACTTTTTGAGTTATCTCAAAAAAAANGCCCTGATAGGTTTAACTGGGTTAATTTATTGGAACTTAACGTAAAGGAGCTCAAGCCTAAAATCTCAGATTGAAGGATTTAAAGTAATAATTATCATGATTATTATTATTAAAATAAAACTTTATTGTAGAGATTACAGCAATCTACCTCCTAAAGATTCATTCCTGGACTTCAGTGGGTCGGAGGACAGATTAGAGGATATAGTTATATATGCGGAGGATACCAAGCAGCGGATTATTCCAGTTTATACAGAGGACGAAACTGTTATTAAGACCGAGCATGTTCAATAGAAAATAGTTTAGAATTCAACGACGACTTTTAGACCAAAGATATTTTAGTAAATTCACATATTTATTTTTAGATTATTTGTCAAGTTTTGGGAACTGAATAGATCGATATTAGGTCGTTTCATATTCCATTTTTTCTTAGCGACCACTGTCCTGGCTCATTATGTACAAAACAGCTTCATAACATGGATGGAATTTATTTGAGAACTGCTGCAATCAAATAGATTATCAAGTACAGAGAAATGGACCAAATTTACATGACGTCACAAGTGTCAAGTGTAACAAGGAAGACAACATTTTCTCTCATTAGTTGACTTGTTTTCCACTATTAAATAAAAAAGTGTAAAAAAGTAAATGAAAAACACAAAATTTCACGTAATTCGCTGTAAGATAAGCACTTTATTATCACGATTATTAAAAATTTTATCGGACACATAAAATTGTTGAAATTTGTGACGTAAGAATACAATACAGTTGTACTGAGAGTGTACAAATTCTACATTGCCATCTATTGTACTTGATAATCTATTTGGCTGCAATTAAATACAAGGGATTGAAGAGGTTACAAGTTTAAAAGTGGCATGTTTAATTCTCAACTGCACCCTTCAAACTTTTGTCTGAACAAGAACATTGTTGTATCCCTTTTTTCCATCTTAAAATTTCTTTCAATGACGGTTCGTAATGAAGGAAATTGGAAGATTATTAGTTCTAGACAGAACACAACAATTATTGTTACTCAGATAAAGACCTTAATTGGTACTGCTGATAATCGGACATTGCAATGTTTAAAACCCATGATTACAAGATAAAATAGCTGTTATCATTGAATAACTTTGAGGCCGAATTTAATGAATTTAAACAGCGTCGCTGATCTGCCAAAAACCGGTTCCAATTGTGAATCTCAGGATCAAGCATTTATCTATTTAAATATGCCCTTATCGGATATCAAGATCAAGCGTTCAATATCCACACAAAGAAGTTATAACGATAAGACTAGTTGAAAGCAATCGCTAAAAATGAACGATATATTCCAAATCACATCAGTGATCGACGGTATCGGTTTAAAAACTTTTCAATTGTAAAAATCTTGACTAAGTTTCTTTACGACATATTTATTTATTCTGGGGCGTGCTGTTTAATTATGTGCTANGTTAAGAACGAAAAAGTACTAATCCAATTGTAGTCTGTCAATTTTCCCTTTTAATATTGATGAAGTTTTAAAATTATGAATTTAAAGATGTTTTTTTGTATTTTTTTCAAACTAAGCTTTTAGGGATTTTTCTGTTAAATTGGTGCTTTTTTAAATTATCGACATTTTTTCTGCTAATTTTTCATCTTGGACGGTCCATGGTGACTGGGGTCAAGTGAGTTGCACGCACCTCTGCCCCTTTAGTAAAAGTAAATTGAACCTACATGAAGCATGAAGTCTGACCGCGTCAACCTTGTTGCACCGGCTAGTCCTGTCCATAGGGCTAGGTACAGTACAAACTAAGAAGGAAAGGTTGACCCGGCTCGGAAATTCAAATGTACTACGGCTGCCAGTGATGGAGAAAAGTAATTTCGGTTTACTTTGTGAAGCCCTTTAAGATATTCTAGAAGTGTTGATCAAAGCGTTCTTGCAAATGTAATTTGTCAATTACTCTTGAAAATCATTAACTTGTCAATAATAACATTGGAAAACGATATTCCATTTTAATTAATTTTCGTAGATTTCGAAATTTCAACTTTGAAATCTTTAAAATAAACGTACCTTAAAAGCTTGTTCACCTTTTTTATTCTTTACCCAAAATTTCATTTATTTTTCTTAAATTTAGCAAGTAAATCCCTGGAAAATATAATCTGAAGGGGAAGATTTCTAGGAAAATGTTCACTTGTCCTGAGCGCGATTCGCGAACGGGATGACGCAGTTAAACGACTTATGTTCTTTTTCTTACATAATTGAATAAATTTAAAAAGTTCATGGAACCACAGCGGTAAATATTATGAATACATTTTTTACTCATCTTAAGCAATTTCACATACAGGGTGTCACAGCATAGGAAGCTAAACAGCTGAGAGATTCGCTTTAGTCTTCCTAGTTAAAATTAATTCTTGCAAAGGTTTCCTATGGTCAGAAACTCTAAAGAAAAACATTCTAATATTTTAACAGTTTTTTTGATAAAATATCTCGTGATGGAAAGTGACAGGTATAATTTGTACACATAAAGAAATAATGTTCTCAATTTATTTCACAATTTACAAAAGAAAAAGTGAACATGAAAAATGTTGTTTTGTTGGAATTTTTTTTTTTTAAATCTTTAGAAAGGGGTTTGGCCAGGTCTTCTAAACTGTAAGCGTAATTAATCTTATTTTCAGTCTGAACCCTAATCATGATATTTCACATATCACTGAAAATATGAACCTTAGAGATTGATGTTAAAAAACAACTCTCTTTAAAATAAAAAAATATTTTGGGTCTACTTTCTTAAATTTTGATGTAAACCTTTTAATTTTAATCATCTTTTTGCAGGTTTCTAGACAAACTTGGATTTTTTAACGATATTTTAAACCCCATTTTCTCAAAGACGGCTATTCACCAGATTTGTTTGAAACATGTTTTTAAATTGCAGCTAACCCAATACATTAATTTTCCAAAACAAGTTGGGGGTAAACTTCAGTGAAACCTTAAATTTGTCATGTGGGGCTGTGGAGAAGTGAAAACTATGATTTTTAGGAGGAATTCAGCCTTTACCAGGCCACAAAAGGTCCAGGAATTAAAATTAAATTCTTCATTAGATGGTTTTATTTTTAAAATTATTCCAAAGCTAGTTTTAAATTAATTTATCAGGAATATACAATCAGAGCTGTAAACTTTAGAATTGAATATCTACAGCGTGTCCCAATTAACATGAGAATTCAGTGACGAATTCGATATCGTCTTTGTTATGAATTAGCATTGTAATACCTTATTTATAAAACCATAATATTATTATGTCTGCTAGAGTTTATATAATGAAAACGGTAAATGGCTGTGAAGATGTGTCTATAATGTCTCCGCAAGATCAACAGTGAAGACGGATAAGCTTACTCTGTTTGTATACTGTAATTTTCTTGTTTTACTATGTACAACCGTATGCTGTCAAAACATAAACATACATATTGTAAACATAGCAGACGAAAATCTTACAGATTACGCTTTCTCAGTATAGGTATCACTATACTAAATTTAATAAAAGAATTATTTTAAAATACGTTATCGAATTCGTCACTGAATTCCCATGTTTATTGGGACACCCTGTATAATCTCGATTGCCTAATTTGAATATCCAATGTGGACACTTTTAATTTCCTTCTTAATTTCTCTCTTTTTGGATATCCTTACTTCGTTGAACCAGTAAGAGTCCACACATTAAATGGCGCGCAAAATTTAGAATTTCCCGACTTCTCTAATTGGCGTTCACGGTTTCTCCAAACTTCACCTCGATTGGCCAGTTATATACACTTCTGTGAATAAAAACTTATATTAAATTTAGCTTGAGATTAACAATTTTAAAGTTTTCAGCTCAGAGCGTATGCAGGGCGTTTGCAGATAGGAGGTATGGGGGTGGGAGGATGGTAACCATGGTTAACTTTGGGAACCTTATTTTTCGCTTTGTCCCCCCCCCCTCACATCCCATCTGTATACCCCCCTGCATCCAATAAAGGGTGAAGTATATAAGTATGATAGAAATCTGGGATCAAAGGATTAAGAGGATTATAACTCTTTTAAGTAGATAATCAAAAATAAATTTATATTAATTGTGTTTTCATTAGATTATACAATTAGTCTCTGGACAGGGGCGTTAGAGGGGAGGGGGACTGGCCCCCCCCTACGCGTGCCCCAACTGAAGGGGGGGGGCACACATATAAAAATACTATAAAATATCATTTTTGCCCTCAAATAAAAAGTTTCATAAAAAAGCTTTACTCAATACTGCCTTCAGTGTAAATATATATTTTTGATATGATTATACAATATGTATCATTTCTTTGAAAATATAGATATTTATTAAGAAACGTTTCCATTTCTATTTTTCATCCATAAAAGCTTACAACACAGTATTAAGAGGAAGTGTCTGATGAGTCCACTTAAGAAAATTACATAAATAATTTATTAACACTTAAGTTATATGGAACTGTGAATATGATCGAATAGTTAACATAGTTAAAAAAGTGACCCCCCCCCCCCCTGCACAAATGCTCTCGTACGCCCCTGTCTCTGGATTTCAATAGTTCTTTTAACAATGAAGATATATCAGGAGTTAGAATTAAAAGTTAACTTAAAGGGAAATAGAAAGTTTTTTTTTTTTTTTTTAAATCATGACATTTACAATTAACTATTAGATACTACAGTTAATTTAAAATTAGAAATTTTATTTTAATCCATGACATATAGACAAAAAAACATTAAATAGTGTATAGACCAAAGGGACAGTCCCTTTACGCTCAAATCAAAGGACTAAAGAGGATTATAACTCTTTTAGTAGATTATCAATAAAAACAAATGTATTATTTTTGTTTTCATTAGATTATACAAGTGGTCTCTGGATCTTATTAATTTTTGAGCATTGAACATTGAACATATCTATCAGGAGTTTGAATTGAAAGTTAACTTAAAGGGACTGTATACAATTTCAAGAGTGGTATGTCCGATTTACAATGGTCCCCTTATAACTTTTGTCTGAGCTATACTGATGCAGTTATCTGTAAAATGACTTGCGGAATATTGAAGTTGGAGAGAAAGAAAGAAATTGTTAGAATTTAACACTTTTCCAGCGAGAGAATACGACGATATCTTCCTCATTGTTGCTCTTTTGAACGTTTAAGGGGTACCATTGTGAGTCTAAATAATAATTACGTCAATTTAAGAATTCTCGAGATTATGAGTATTTCAATTTCAGTATTAGAACTCGACGTAAATTCGATAATAACACGCAAAATGGGGATATCGTTTCGCGATTTCGCATTTTTAACGAAAAAATTTGTTCCAATTGATAAAATAATCTTCAACTTTTAAT